ACCAACCCCACCTGTCCCTCTCACCCAGGTACAGACCAACCCCACCTGTCCCTCTCACCCAGGTACAGACCAACCCCACCTGTCCCTCTCACCCAAATACAGACCAACCCCACCTGTCCCTCTTACCCAGGTAGAGACCAAACCTCACCTGTCCATTCTACCCAGGTACAGATGAAACCTTACCTGCCCTTTTTATTCAGGTAGATTCCAACTCACCCCTGGTGTTGAAACAGTACTACTCCATGGACTGGTAATAAATGAAATCACTATTAGTCACAGTAACAATAAAACCCAGGTAGAGAGTCTCAGGATCAGTCTTGTGCTCAGATATTGGGACAAAGGCGACTGGAGGTTCTTACACCTTGAGTCCATATCAGAACCTTGACCCGAGTCAGAGACACAGGAATAATGTCAGACATTTAGACAATCCTCTGAGCTAATACTAATACTGAATTACACATCAACACAGTAATGGGTATAATTCAGGCTCATGAATTTAACTGAAAGTGACAGCAATGATGTTAATTTAAACACAATAACAAATCCAGACAATGCAACAGGGTTTACATTGTCAATGAGATTACTGTCATCTATCTTTCCCTGTGAGTTCCTCTTCAGTGGTGACGTGTGGTGCTGTCCAGTGTAGCTGTATTTCCTCCTCTATATCCCTCCAGTCCGGTGATTGTCGGGGAATGGAAAGTGGTTCTGGGAAAACTGAAGAAGAATGTCTTAAGCCCCTACGAGAGATCCCTGGGGATCCAGAGTGTTCAAACCAGCCAGCTTGGTGGCACCAACATCGCCCTCCTGAAACTGGTCACCAAGGTCTCCTTCACAAAATATATCCTGCCCATCTGCCTGGCTGGGGAGAGAGTCTCATTTCCCATAGGAACTCAGTGTTGGATCACTGGCTGGAGAAACACAACTAGAATAGGTGAGACTGGGATGTTAGTTCAAGGTCCAGGATCACAGTGTGGGACACAGACTCTCCAGTGTGGACAGTGCTGTTGTCAAGGTGCTTCACACAGATTCCTTGAGGTCTATGTGTAAAGTGCTATCATCCCTGATCACGACACTTCACTCAAGGTTGTGTTATCTTCCCCCACAATCTCTAAAGTTCCTTGTGTGTCCCTTTACTGTCAGGTGAGAACACCTTCCAGGAAGTGTCCACAGCAATCACTAAGTGTATGAACGTCTCTTCAGGTGACAACCTCTGTACTGGACCGCTGGACCTTCAGCAGGTATCCACTCATTCCGGCACTGAATTCTTCTGATTCTTCTATGAAATTAATTTTTGGTATCTTCATCTGGAATACAGATAATACTTAATCTGGACTCATGA